GTGACGTTACGCCTAAGATTGCAAATTATTTGGTGTAAAGGTTGCTATTTACTGTCTGGTGGTGTTTCACCTTTCCTGGCCAAACATCATGACAGGGTGAAGAGGCAGAACTTGGAGGAGAAGACGATCATATTGTGGTGACAGTTACAGATGTGTTTAGCTCTGGGCTTTGCCGTAGCACTCAACTCAACCATGTTCCTCCACAGCCCCAAGGGACCGCTGTTGAACCACCATTGTCCTGGCAGACCCCAGAAACATTGACTTCGTTCTCAAAGGTGACCTTTGCTCTCAAAGGGGACCATCCTCCGGTTTCGGGCAGTGTTGGCTTCTGCAGGAGCAAGGAAGAGTGCGTTGTTGCAGCGCTGTGCTGGGTGGGCACTCCAAACGCTCCAGCACCATCCCAGGGGAGGAACAGTCAACAGCTCTCGGGTCTTGTTGCGGAGTTTTGGCTATGAAAACCATTATTTCTGCCGCGATTTGTTTGTCTGTTCTGACCAGCTGAGTAGCTAAGGTTATCGCGGCCAAACTGCTGCTTTATGTTTAATTCTTCCAAGCGGCCGGAGAGGAGCTGCCTGTCCCAGCAGGTGCCTCGAACACTTACCGGTGAAGCTCATAAGGAAAGATGCGGCGGTCCAAAAATCTGTATTTGCCACTTTTTATTCAGGCAAACCCTGATGTTAAGCTGAGCTTTGAACCCTGGCTGGAAGGATTCCGTGGCAGTCAAACCTCGGAGAGGAAAGGCATTAAAGAAGCCAAAGGCTGGGTAACTGCAAGGGCGAATGTGAAAACTACATCTTTTTTTTTCTTAATGCGTTTGTGTTCTTTCAGCTGTTCCTTGTAGATACAGTTTTTCTGACCTTTGCTACCACGAGGTGATATTCTACTCCAGGACGTGCTACTTTTTCCTGACCAGTGTCACCCTGGACTCAGCGAGGCAGAAGGATCCCAAAGAAACCGCGGCCGAAGCTGGGACACTGGGGAAGAGCTGGGGGTAGGTCCCACATGTCCCCAGCAGCCCAGAGGAGCTGTGGGCGCTCAGGGTGTGGTGGCACTTAGAACCTCAGTTCTTCACCTCCGGCACCAACCGCCCGGCTGCTGCGGGAGCCACAGTTGTCACCACACTGAGGGGGACACACAACACCATCAGTCAGATGATCATGATGGCCAGAAGGGGGACGTGGATCTGCTCAGGGCGAGGTGCTGCCCGCCCTGTCTTCCCAGGTCCAAGTGTCTTCCCAGGTCCCCTTTTAAAACTGAGGGTGGTGGTGGTGATGTGCCCTCCTGGGCTCCTGCTCCAGTCGCAACTGCCAGTGGGGTATGATGGGTCACACCTGGACGTGGGGACAGCAACAGAGCCAAAGGCTGCCTGGAACAGGCACATAGATGTCTCGCTGCTATGCAAAGACAGTGATAGGTCAATCGTCTCACACTAATTAGTGGCCAGCCCAGGGCATCGTTGAGCTCTCCTGCACGGCTGTGTGCCAGCATCTCCCCTTGAGCAGGGACGCCGCTCCAGGTCACTCCTGGAGGGTCAGAGATTCCCTGATGCACTGGATCCTCGGTAAGCGGTGAGCAGCACGCCAAACCGTGAAATCTTAGTGGTATAAAGTGGTATGAAGGATGGATTGCGCCTATCTGATCCTTTCGATATAAATCGTTGACCAAGTCTGGGACCTGGATTGGCTCCGGCCGCACGCGGATGGTGTTGAGAACACCAGGGGGTCCTCTCTGAACTTCCCCTCGGGGTCTCCCCGACAGCTCTCTCTGTCCCTGTCCTCCGTGCAGTAAATAACCAAGGGGGGCCCTGCCATCAGACCTCATTAAAACAGTCACATTTACTATTAGACTTTGTTAAATCCCTCTTTTATATCAAGAATCAAATCCCTCTTTTATATCGTCTGTCTCACGAGAGAAGTGAATCACTGTTGGTGCTGAGGGTCCCCCCCGAGGCCGGCAGAGCCCCCGGGGGGTGGGGAAGAGCTTTGCCCTCTGGTCCCTCCTGCAGCAATTAAAGCACAGTGTGTCCAGTTCCCCCCCCAGCATCCCCCAGTCCCTGCACTGGGGGATGCTTTGCCGGCGGCTGGGAGCAGGGGGTGCGTGGTGGTTGGCAGAAACCAGAAGCATTGTTAATCTTCCCGGGGAGAGGGGGAGAAAGGTGGAAGGATGTGGGAGAGCTTCACCTGACCTTTTCCTCAGGACAGATTCCAGCCCTGCTACCTCACCCCCCATCCTTTTTAATCGTATAATTAACCCTGGCCCAGGCCGGACTGGGAATCGTGCTGCTCTGTCAGACAATTGCCCACCAAAAAAAAAAAAAAAGTGGGCAGGGGAGTTCCAGGGTTGTTAAGCAAAGGCAAAGAGCCGGCGCTGCCACTGCTCTGCCGTCAGCCAGGGATTTACTGGTGGTCAGGTCTGTGCTTTTGCGGTTTACCCTGCCACGCGCGCGGAAGCACGGCCGCCGCCTCCACTGCCGACCCGCAGAGGGTTTGCTGGCGCAGTCCCCTATTTTGCCGGGGAAATGCAAGTTCTCAGAACGTGAATAAAAATTTGACCCCGGCTACTTTTTTGAAACGTTTTTATTTTCTCGAGGCAGGTGAGAGGGGCGCACGCCTCGTCCGCCTCTGTCGGAGACGGCGTTTTGGCTCAGCCCTCCTCTAAATTTGAACAGCGACTTTGTTTCAGGAATCCTCGCAGCAGCTGTCTGCTTTAGGCGACGAAGGAGGAGATGTCTCGTATCTTTATTAGTGACACATGCGGTTTATTTAACAGCAGACAGGACCCCAGGCCCCTGTACAGCCGCTCTCCCTCTCTTCCCCGGGGTTCTCATGTCGGTTTTCCACCCCTGACCCAGGGCTGAGCTCCCGGGCTGCGGATAAGCTGAATTAGACAATGCTGGGCCAAGCTTGTCCCTTCCCCCGAGCCTCATTTAGCCAAAAACAAACAACACAATCCCCTCTTTCTGCTAATGTATTTGTTGTTATTATAATTTTATTGGGTAAATAATCAAAGGTCTAGAGCAGTCACTTCATGTTTGATTTTAAGCACATTGTGCTGATGTGGCACTTCACTATTCCGCTTTAAAACCCTCTGCAGCTCCGGGAAGGAGAGATGACGCTCTCACTTTCCCCCTGTCGAACCCCCTCATTAAAAAAACCCCCAACTTCATTTCAACCTCCCACCAGTGTTTTGAGAGGGTATTGGGATGCCCCAGGGCAAAGCGCTCTTCTCCACACACGCCGCTTTCCCCTCCTGCAGCCCCGCTTCCCACACCGAAATGAAGCGACAATGCAAACATGATTCATATAAAGAAAATAACCTTTATTAGACAAATCAATCAAACCCTGAAAAAAACAGTGTCAGGTAAACATGACTAAAGGTTTTTCCAGCAATGCAGAAACCTTTGAAACTGAGAAATTCAGGAAGGCTCACGTTCTGCTTGTTGCATTAGGAAATTCTCTCCCTCTCGTGACCATGAACTCGTGCCGTCTCCACAGCCCCAAAATCTTGCATTAACTCAGCAATTATTTTAAAATAGTAACTTTTAAAGTCTTCCCTGTGCAACTGTTTCCCATACAATTTTGTACAAAGTTGTCAAACTGTGTTCTCTGTCTATAAAAAAAAAAACAAACAAAAAACCAAGGTTTATAAAACATCCAGCTTACGAAAAATAAACCAGTGGTTTAGGTACAGTACAGGAATTTCCAAACTGGAAGGGCGCTGGTGTGTGCCTCCAGGGTAACGCCGGGGCCGGGGGGAGGCGGAACAGCCCAGACTGCGGCGAGGGCCGGGCAGCCGCCCCGGGGAGGAAAACTGCGGATAAACCACCATTTCCAAAATTGCTCATTTTCATTTCCTCTGAGAAGAGGGAGAGGGTGTCGCAGTGAGGTTTGATGTTACCCGTGAAGAGGCAGCCTCGGAGCACAGGGCATGGTGGTCCCCCGGTGACACCGTGCTGCCTCGGGTAACGGGTATTTCAGGTTCAGCATTGCAATCAACCCATTCTGTTGGTCGCAGATGCCACCACCATCCAGAACTCCTCAAACAAGCCACCGCGGTGGGACCGGGGTACCCGGAGAGGGGCTGAGCCAGAGGCAAAGCAAGCAGCCGGTCCCTGTCACCCCGGGGCACTGCCCAGGTGCGGGGACAAGGACCCCGAGCGCCTGGAACCTGACCCCACCAGGAGAGCGAGACGGGGCTGGGAGAGCAGCCACGCAGGGCAAGGGGCTTTAATCGGAGCCAGGAAAGGAGGCGGTTTGTGCCTCCTGCCCTCCGCCCTGGTCCTGCCGGTGCTGCTGGCTGCTCTGAAGTGCCTGGGCTGTCCCCCCCTCCTTCTCCCCGGACACCCCTGAGGTGTGACAGGGGTGAGGGGGCAGCTGGTTAGTGCCGAAATCACACAGGGAAGAGCAGACAGATGGTTAAGACAGAGATAAGCTCAGCACTGAGGCACTGGAAGAATCATCTGAAGAAACAGTTGACCGTAACAATGAAATTGCTTTTATTAAAACAGAAGTGTTAAGCCAAGAAAATAAATTATTGCTATGATAGACATATTTAGAACATAAGGAAGGACGTTAAATCTTGAGCTCCAGGTCAATACAACCCTGAAACAGAAAGTTACACTACTTTTCTTAAATACCTCGGTTTCTCTTCATGCCCTTCCAAAAACTTTATAAAATGTGCAGCTTATAGAACAAATAGTAACAGAGTCACTCGTAACAAAAATCTGTACAGCTCATAGCTTTAAAAATAATACTTTTTTTTTTTTTTTTTTCTCCTTTCCAAACTGCTATGTTACTTATTACTCATAAATATAGGGCTAACAAGTTTGGAACGCCCAAGGTCCCATCCAACACCAAAGCTATTATGTGTGGCTGACAGAAACCTTCTTGGGACTGCCCCCCGGCCAGAGTCAGGTTTTGGAGCCTTTGAAAGAGCCCGATTATGTGTAAAAAATAAAAATAATAGTATCTTCATAGGTGAAGACTGTCTCCTTCTGCTGGTCAGAGGCCTGGGGTCTTCAGAGAGTTTGAAATGGCAATCAAACCTGGAACACAGCACCGCGTGATGGGTTAGACCGGCCGCACTCGCTGCCACGGCAGGATCCCACGGGTCCCTCTGTCCCCGGCCAGCGGCCAGTTTGCAAAATGCTTGGGAAAAAAAACCACCACCACCCCACCAGTTTGTCAGAGCTTCATTTTGGTGGGGAAAGAATGTTTTCCTGGAAGAGCCTCGCAGAAGAAGCGCGGCTCTTCCCCCACAGGGAGGGCTGATCTGCCCCTCGGGACTCACCCAAAGGCTGCATGCTGCTGTCCCAGCAGCACTGGGCCAGCAAACCCAGCTGCTTTGTGGCCACTTCTTGTCTGTGACCCCAACACCCCCCTCCAGAAGGGGCTCTGGCTCTCAATTTTGACCTTGGCTGGTTTTGCTTAGCTGGTTCTGAACTCCTGCACCCGCAGACCACGAGCCGTGGGCCTGCATGCTTCTAACAGCCCCGCAGTGCCAAACCTAGGAGCCACCTACCAGCCCGCACCTTGGCCACCAAAGGCCCAACCCTGCCCCTCTCGCATTCCCAGCCCTCGGCTCGGTCCTAAGGATGGAGAGGAAAGAGCCGAGCCAGAAGCAGGCTATAGTCCAAGGGGAACATGACATGACTTCCCAAGGGCTGCCACCCACACGCAGGCAGCCCTGCTTGGCCGGGTGTCCTGCCAGGGCTCGCTCCCTCCTCAGGCCAACAGCGATTCCCTCGCAGACGAGGAATCCTCTGGAAATCAGGAAGAACAGGAACAACACCTGGCAGCTCCCTCGGGCCATCCTGACCATAACCTAGCAGGTTCCTCTCTGCCTGGTGGTGTGCAGTTTCCCTTGGAGGTTCAAAGGAAACTGTGGGATAAATCCAGCCTGGGGAGAATACCGTGGATTCCCTGAGGCACCTCAGAGGGACTAACGAAAAGGAGGATTTCAGCAAACAGCCCTGGAAAACAGATTAGTGGTTAGAGAGCTGGGCAGCATTCAGAGGAAAGAAACTCATCTGAACACTGATGACGAGGTGGTGCTCAACCCTCTACTACCTGAAAGTGATTTGGCTTGTTTTCCTTCTGCTCGCCCAAAGCCGGGACGTGTGGGACCGGCTGTGTAAGGCAACGGCTCTACGGGACCCATCTCTTGGGGAGATGGTCTTCTCTAACCAGAGGAATCGGAGCCTCAGAGACCAGTCTGGAATGTGCGGGGGGAAAACTTCTCATGGAGAAGCGGAGGGTGAGGTTCTCCTGACTCAGAGCTGCTGGAAAATCCCCTTCAGGGGCTACTTACAACAACTCCGCTTCCTTAGGCGGTATACGTGTGCAGAGGGGCTCACACTATTGTCGAGGGACTTATGGTGACCTGGCCTGCTTTCTGCAGAGGAGAGAAGCCAGCATTAGTACAGGGTTAGAGGACAACAGCATCAGGACACAATCTAGCGGGAAGGGAAGCAGCTGAGAACTCTCAGGAACATGAGAGGAGCCACACTGACATCTCAGAGCGACAGGTTTCCGCTCCTCCACCTCATCGCTCCCCCAAAAAGGCCCCAACCTCCCAGGAAAGGAGCACAGTAGCATCTGCAGCAGAGCTCCATCCATCCCAGGAGGACATACCCCAGCCCACAACAGCATTCTAGCTCCTGTGTGCAGCCTCCAGCACTGCAGGTCCTCTCCAGTGCATCTCCTTGGGGATCTTGGCCACCGCAGAGGAGACTCTCGCAACAGAAGGGCTTTTGCCTGCCCCAGAGGAGGCTGAGTCTCCGCGTCAGGAAAGGTCACTTCCCCACAGTGACTCCTAACCCAAAAGCAGCATCTTCGGTCCCCCCATGAGAGGCAGCAGCTTGAACCGGGGAGGCAGTTGTAGGAACAGGCAAAGCGAAGAGAGTATTTTGGCTGCTCGCACTTACTGCAGAAATGTACTGGCTGTTGGTGAACCTGGGTTTCTCCTCCACTGCAGAGCTGTGTTGCGAGCCGAGGGGCACGTAGGGGGGCGAGCCCATGTCTTCACAGAAGCTTTCTTGTGGGATGCTGGAGACACAGCCACTGTCGGAGCCGCTGGAGCCGCTGCCTGACATGCAGTGCGATGATTCTGAGCTCTCTGTTGCTGGGGGGAAGAGAGGACGGTCACTCTGATGACCATGAATTTGGCCTACATGACCTGTGTCACATACACCTAAGGTATCTGTTTGCAAAGGCATTGGCCACACAAGCCTACAGAGAAGCCACACTCCAGTCTGGGCCCCTTTAAAGCCACAGGCAACAAAATAACCCAAGGAAGCGTAGCAAATTATGCTGGAGACTGGTATAGACTGGCCAGGGAAGTTCACACAGGGGAAGCCAAGGGGTCACTGGACCAGGCTGGTGAGAGCAAGAGACAGGAGGGCAGGCAGGCAGAGACACGAGCACTGATCTCCACGGCCATGGCAAACCCCAGCGTGTGGCACCAAGCCTGCCACAGGGACGTCTGCGGATGGGGGGACACTTTACTAATCCCTGCATCTGAGCTAACGCCCTCCAGGAAAGCTGAGGCAGAGCTGGCAGGGAAGGGCAGAGCCCTCCTTGCCCCAGTTTGGCTATGGGGCAGGGACTGTCACGACCCCAGCGAGCCTGGTCGGCCCGCACAGGGGGGAACAAGGTGTGGGGACAAGCCCGCACATCCCAGGGGCGCAGTGCGGAGCAGCGGGCTCATACGTACTCAGCGAGGGCTGGCTGCTCGTCTCGTGCTCCAGCTCGTCCTCCTCGATGCAGGTGCCGATGTCAAAGGGGCGGCTGGGGGCCAGGACGCCCGGCAGCAGAGCCTGGTCCAGGTACATGTGGAGGTTGAGGGGCCCCAGCAGGGAGGAGGAGGAAGGGGTGTACGCAGAGGGGGTGCTGCCAGCGGAGAGCTGCGCCTGTGTCCTCTTGTACGGGTTGGAATGGTCAAACAGAGACACGGCAATTGATGCTCTGGTCCTGGCACCTGCCAGAAAACATACCAAAAAAGCCCTGAGCACCAATCCTGCTCCACGTGGAGCAAGGGGGCAGGCACGGCTGGCACTGACCTCGGCCTTTCATGATGTAATCAATAGCACGGTCATTGATAGCTGCCTCGCTGGGTTTGATATCCAGGAACGGCTTGTTGCCCACACCCATGGAGACCATCTCCTGCATTCGGATTTCTGAAGAGGAAGAAACCCACAGCCACATCGTGAGGTTGCTCCAATCCGCCCCACGGGCACTATGCAGCCCCAGGCTAGAGCGCTCCTGGGCCGGGCTGCTCCCGAACTACTGAGGTTAGATCTGTTCTCCCCTTCCTCCCCGGTCCTGAGGAGTCTCCACAGACAAGCAATCATGCCCTGCTCCGGCCAAGTAGCTCAGTGCCATGCCACCTACGAGCGTCCTGCCAAGCGGGAAGCCTGGGGCAGAGAGGAGGGACGCAGCCAGACAGCTGCCACTCCAGTAGTGGCCTAGACCGTGGGGAGAACAGGGAGCCGTTCGGGAGCACGGCCCACGCTCCCAGGGCAGGGAACCCTGTGCTGGTATCTCCCATTTCTCTCATGGAGTCCAGGTGGGTGTCTACAGCCACACAGAGCTCGGAAAGGTGAAATTCCCTGGGGGTGAGGGCCAGGGAAGGGACATGCCCAGCCAAGCCCAGCACATGCTCGCTGCAGCAGAGCTGCCTGGTCACAGGCTCCAAACCTACTCAGGACAGCACGAGCTGAACAGGGCTCCCGCACCTTTTGCGGCACAGACGCCCCGGGAAGGAATCACACCTTTATTGCGGGCTGCCTGCTGCCACAGGATCTTGGCAATGTCACTGGTCCAGGCCTGCTTAGTCTCAGCTGAACTGGCCTGGAGGATGTAGGTGTCGCTGGACTTTCGCCTTCGGAACCAGATCTCAAAGCGTAAGCCGCTGTCTCCAGAGTTCTCCGTCAGACCGATGTCTGCAGTCTGCCAGAAACAGGAAGAGCAAAGCATCAGCTGGGGCTCCACCAGGAGCAGGAAGGGTAAACTCCGCCTGCACCCTGTGCCACAGCTACCCCCAGCTCGGCAGACCCAACGGGAAGGAGCCCGAGGAACAGGAGCAGGTACGATATGGACACAGCCAAGCAGAAACAGCCCAGGCAATTCCCAGGGCTTCATCCAGAGTCAGCAGCACCTCCCTGCCACACACACACACACACAGCTTTTCCCCTCCTCACACTCTGCATCCCCCAAGACCTTAGCCCCACATCTCACAGCATAGAGGCGGCCCAGGAAATAACGTGTAAAGTATTCCCTTCTGGCTTCACTGCGCAGCCTGGAGAAAGCGTAGCAGTGCTGGGAGCAGCTTTTCTCCTTGAATGTCCTCCCACTCCCCATTTCAGAGCCATGTGTCCATGGGGAAACCAGCCACGGACACCTCCTGGACAAGAGGGAGCTGCAGGGCTGCCCTTACCTTGAAGGAGCGCTTGTAGATATACACATCAAAGCCACCCTCGATCCTCTTGGGCTTGCTGAACAGGATCAGGTCCTCAAAGAGGAAGACATGTCGCTGGCACTTCCTACGGCCCAGCCAGATGGTGAACTCGTCCTGCCGCACCAGCTGCCCCTGCTCCTTCAGGTTCACCTGGACACAGGGAACATCCTGGTAAGACCCCAGCAGGATCAGCTGCAGGCAACCCCAGGGGCACAGGGAGAGCAGGGTCCCATATGGCTGTGGCCCAGGTAGTGAAGAAGCGGCAGCTACCTGTCATGTTAGAAGGGGTCTTGAAGAGGTAGGGCTGTGTGGCATTGCTAGAGGCCACATCAGGCTGAAACAACTGGCTCAGACCTCAGGGGAGAGCTGCGCCTTTCTCCTAGGTATAACCCACAGATAACCCTCATCCTGTGCAGATCTGTGACAAACCTCTGGGGTGGCCCCCGGAGGCAGCAGCCAGATGTTCCTCTCAGGGAAAGAAAAGAGCTAAAGAGGAAAGGCATCCCATCAAACTGCCAGGAGCACATCTGGGTCAGAAGCCCAGTCCCTCACTTCTTCCTGTCCCAGATCCATTTTCTTCCACCCTGTCCCCTGTGCTTTCTTCTCCTCCACTGCTACTTTGCATGCCTCTCCTTCAAGTCCCTCCTAGCTGATTTTAGCCTACCCCAAACATCAGTTTGAATTCCTTCTTGCAAACTGCCTGAACATCTTATCGCCAGCTCGAAAGAGATGGAAGGGCTCAAGGCAACCTGCAGGATGTCATCTGCAAGGGCTGCCAGGCTGCCTCACGTCACCAGTAAGCAACTGGGAGCGTGTTAATGACAGGCAGCTCACCCAGCTCAAGCAACAGCATCCAGGCTGCCTGTCCTAGCAGATCAAGGAGACCTTGCTCTGTGCCTCAGTAGTTCCACTACTGGCAGACTGCACGCTGACCACTGTGGGAATTTGAGGGGAGGCTCACCATATGGTCCAAAGACTAGAGAAGGGGAAGAGGTATGGCTCTGCACCCCCAACACGGGAGGGCATTAGAACGTACGTCACAGTCGCGGATGGCATCCATGGCCAGCAGGTCATTTCCATGCCGGAGCTGAAACTTCACCATCTCCTCAGCTGCACGGAGGTAGCCCAGCTCCTGCTCTTGTGCCTCACTGCACTCCTTGATCAGGTCCTTCAGGAGCAGCGCGTATTTGCTCATCCGCTGGATGGGTTTCAGCAGGTAGGAGGCCAGGTCCATCTTATCTCCAAGCTGCACCTGCTTGAACTGAGAAACGCAGCAGAGAGTGAAGGCAGCAGCTCCCCGTGGAGAGCCCTGTGCCCACAGGCACGCACTGACACCCACAGCTCTCCTGCCCAGGGAAATGCAAGGCCGTAGGACCAGTGCTGCTGTGTGCTGGGCTCCTCTCCAAAGCACTCACTGCGTCTCTGCCCCTGTCCCACCACATACACTTGTGCAAAGAGCTGTGCCAGGAAAGCAGAGGTAGTGCTGAGTGTGCCTTGAGCAGGCAAGTTGGGCTTGTTTTAAACAGATCAGCGACCCAAACACCAAGAGTAATCATGATGCGGGCAGTGGAATTTACCTTGAAGAAGGTATTCCCATGGCTGGCCAGCAGCGAGTCCGACTTCGGCTTGTTCTTGCTATACAATGCATACATCCCAAACTGGTCTTTCTGCAAAAGAGATCCCCGCGTGAGACCAAGGCACACCCAGGATGCAGTGACAGACATACCCCTGCGTTGGTTACACCAGTACTTCTGCCTCTCCCAGGCTGCACCAGAGCTTCTTATGGCAAGAATGACTTTCCTTCAAGTTCATTAAGAGCCAGGGAATGTTCTTCTCTTCCTACTCCCACAGCAGCTAGGACTTTTTAATCCATAGTCCTGTTAGCCCTTGACCCTTACATACCCCAACAGATACTATTCACTTGGTAGCAGCAAACATGGTGCTGCTGAGCTTAAGACCAGCGTCCCGTGATTCTCCCTCGCAGCCCTTTTCAAGAAGAACAGCAGGTCTGTACCTCTCTGCTCACTGAAGTCATTCCCCACTGACACGGAAGACAGGAATG